CCCTCCATCCATCCCGCAGCCCCTCCATCCATCCCACAGCCCCTCCATCCATCCTACAGCCCCATCATCCTGTGTCCTGGCTGACCAAGTGAGGCCCTCAGGGCTCATCCTCTGTGCCCGCCCGTCTTGTTCCCACCGCACCCCTACTGTTTACTCAGATAAAGGAGGGCAGGGCTGCCAGGGAAGGCTGCACGCTCAGGATTGGGAGGTCCTGTCCCAGCATGCGGGCTCCTTGTGCTCAGATGGCACACAGCTGGGGGGGGGCACAAGAGCAGTGGGGTAGACAGTTCTAGGGGCAAATTGTTCTCACCTTGCCTGGGCTCTGTGGGACCCATCAGAAAACCCGCTTTCTTCTGCTGTGTGGCTTCTGGAGTTATGGGCACCGCAGCATGAGTCCAGCCACACTCTTGAACCAGACTCAGGGAGTCATGGCCACGCTTCCTGCTGGAGACTGAGCTTAGATTATGGAGCTTCTCACGATGATGGCCAAGGTCTGTGGCCAGCTGGGACTCACCAGAGAGTTTGGGGTGTCACCCAGTGGCCAGATCTCCAGTAGTAGGGACCTTCAGGAGCAAGAGGAGTTAGGAAGACCCCTCCCTGGACACCGGAGGGGGGAGGGATGCAGACTGGTGTCTTCAGTGTCACCAGGAAGAGCGCTTTAGTTTCCTGAACTCCTGTGTTTCCTGAGGGTGCACCAGGGCACTGAGCCTGTGCTGTCCTGGCCTCATGGTACCAGCCCAGCCCGTTTCTGTGCACCAAGGGGCTCAGGCCCAGGCACTGTCACCACACTCTCAGGGCCCTTGAGGCCCAGCCCATATCTCCTTAGTCCTGCCCTGGGGTGCTCTGTCCTTGGGCTTGAGTTAGGTGGGACTGTGTGTGCAAGCAGTGGGGTGCAGGTGACAGGCTACAGCCACAGTGCCCCATTGAGGCAGCAGCCATTGCCGAGGCCCTCTGTGTACAGACCCTGACTACAACCAGCCTGGACTGAAGGCTCTGGTCTTGACACATGTCTCTGGATAGTGGGAGCAGCCTCCTGTAGGGTGGGTGGGTCTCAGGGGATCCCTCTGCTCTCTGGTTTAACTGTCAGGAGGTGAAGAGGACGCTTTCTCTGTGGGCACTAGGTGGAGCCAGGGCACTTGCTTTTTGGCAGCCAGCATGTGGTGGCTGAGTGTCTTCTCCCCCCACCCTGCAACACACACACTCTGAGGCTAGTAGGTTCCAAGCCCACTAGCCACAGCTCCTGACTCTAGGCTACTAGATTACTAGGTTACTAGCTCTGTCTGGGCTACTAGGATAGTAGCTCAGCTACTAGGCTATAGCAGCTCTGCCTAGCCCAGATTCTCAGACAAGAGGCACCTAGAATATTCATTGGACTGGGCCCATCACAGGTGATGGACACATTTGTGTCCCAGGAGCTTTTGGGACCCCCATCTCTGTGTGTACTCCCACTAGCTTCTGTAGCTAGTGGCTGTACACATGGGGGCTTCTGCAGCATGTGTGGGTCCTCAGACAGTCCTCTAGTCCATTGTGGTCTGTGTGGTGGCAAGCGAGGTGTCTGGTAATGGCTGGCCCTTTTGGGCATCCTGGAGCACTCCACTTGCCAGTTTGTCCAGCTTCTGGTGGCATTTGAACCCTTAGCTCCCTGCCTCCCAGGTAGCTCAGGCTTCTCCTGGGAGTGGCATGCTGTTGCTTCTAGTCTTGGTCCACCTAGTCCTAGTCCTGGTTCTCCTCTGTGCCTCTCGGGACACCCTGAGGGGTCAGCTGTGGTCCCGGCCCTCCACTGATTCTCTGCAACTGGGACCTTTAAGATCTCAACTCCTTGACAGAGAAACGCACCTTCTGGCCGGGCGGTGGTGGCGCACGCTTTTAATCCCAACTCTTGGGAGGCAGAGGCAGGCGGATCTCTATGAGTTCAAGGCCAGCCTGATCTACAGAGCAAATTCCAGGACAGCCTCCAAAGCCACAGAGAAACCCTGTCTTGAACCCCACTCCCCCCCCCAAAGGAAATGTACCTGCTGCTAAGCCTGACAACTTGAGTTCGAGCCTTGGGTCACACATGACTGAAGGAGACAACTGACTCCTGCAGGTTGTTCTTTGACCTCTGCACAGGTGTTTGGCCAGCACTGCCTGCCTGCTGTGTCCTGGCCCTGCCTCCCGCCTTTATTCTGTGTGCTGTTGGCCATGTTGCTCTGTGTCCTTCCCACCAGCACCTTGTGTAGTGTCCCTTGATGAAGTACAGCCCTCAGGTCCCATGCCCATCACAGTTGCTTGCACAAAGACCCTGGTGACGACAGGGGCTCTGCTGGTCATGCAGGAGATGGACAGGAGGGAGAACTGCTTTGTGCTGCCCCAGGCCAGGTTGATGCAGTCCCTGGGAAGGAGAACTGTGTGAGAAGGAGATGGTGGGTGCAGGCACCCTCATTACACGAGGGTGGGGAGTCAGACTCTGGGGCCACCCAGTGGGTCAGGGTTCAGCAGTAAACCATGGAAGGGGAACTGTGCTGTCCTGTTATCTAGAAGACACACTGTGCTCCCCCACTGAATGTGGCCTGCTGGGCAGCCAAGGCAGATGCATCTGGATCCAGCCTAGGGCTGCACTCAGCTGGTGGTTGCTGTACCCTCCCATGCTCCTCCCTCCTGCTCTCCAGAACACCGAGGCTGCTGATTTCTAGGCTGTGAGGTCCCCGGGACATGATGTTCCTCTTGTACCATCTCCCCAGCTCTCACCTCTGCATGTGGGGAGGGGTGGCAGTGGGTTCTGGTCTCAGCAATTGATATGGGGCTGGTGGGGACTGGGAGTAAGTCAGAGCTCCTGCAGGATAGATAGCTTCTAGTCTGTGGCTAGGGGCCTGCTCATGGTGCCCTGGAGGACAGTGTCTGACGGCCCCCTTAGTAAACCATGTCCTGTCACATGGCACTGTGGCTCTGAGGGCTGTGTCCAGTAGAACCTCAGGGCTTCCAGGTGTCCAGTAGAGCCCCAGGTCACTCAGGTGTCCGGTACAGTCCCGGATGCAGCCTCATTCCTCTCCAGAGTCCATCAAGGTGGTGGCCTTTGGGAGTCTGGCCCCTGCCCCAGATCTTTTCTGTGCCCATCAAGCCCTACACTCCATTTCTGGGCATGTGCTGCCACCTGGTGGCCACCCTGGGAAATGTATGGGAGCTGTGGAGAAGGGTCTCCAGGAGGTGGGGACTGACAACCCTTCTTGGCTGACAAGTTTCCTTTACAAGGGGCAGGAAGGAGACCAGCTGTGCTGCCTTCATATAACATAGATGCTTCCAGCATCTGTGACGTCCCTTCGGTGCAGACACAGGCAGGTTGATGTTGGCTGTGGCTTGAGCAGACTCAGATGGGTTGGGTTTGCCTTCCTGACCCAGGCCTCCCTGAATAGCTTGATGGATTCTGGGCTTTGAACAGTTGGCCCCCTATGCATAAGTGGAACATTCTCAATTAGCCCAGGACAACCCCATGTGCACAGAGCTCCTGGGTGGATGCAGGGAACACAAGTCCATAACGTCCACATGGGAAGAAGGTCCCTGCTGAGAACAGTGCTGGATTCTAGGGGCCTCTGGTTAGAAAGTGCACAGCTTTTGGGACTTCATCTGCTTTGGAGGGAGGGTACCTGTGTGTTTAGTCAGCTGGTATCACTTTGGCCCTTAGGCTGGTGGGAGTGATGGAGTCTTGGATTTGCTGGCATGCCCCAGCTGCCCGCTGTTGCCCTCCTGCCTCTGAGGGTAAGCGTCCTAGTGGTGACAGCAGGGCTGCACTGACCACTCTTGTCCTCTCATAGGTGAGGCTCTGCATTGCTGCAGCCATGGGGTCCGAGGATCACAGTGCCCAGAACCCCAGCTGCAAAATCATGACCTTCCGACCCACCATGGAGGAGTTCAGAGACTTCAACAGATACGTGGCCTACATCGAGTCACAAGGCGCCCACCGTGCAGGCCTAGCCAAGGTGGGTCACACCACTCCCAGGCTGCTTTGTGCCTAGATTCCATGTCACTGCCACTCCAACCCCTTTTTAAAATCTACAGAGGGACCAGGTTCTGTGGGGGTGCCTGGACAAAATCAGGGTACTCGTGTCTCTAGCCCTGGGGAGAACCCAGTGTGGGTGGAACACAGAGCCTGTTGTTAGGATAGGCTAGGATGGAAGGGGACCCAATGCCTAGGGGCAGTATTGCCAGGAAGACACCTTTAGTTCCTGATTAAGTGGCAGTGACCCGGAACAAGAAGTGTGCAAAGAGAGTCGTGTGTGTGTGTATGTGTGTGTGTGTGTGTGGGGGGGGGGTGCATGTTGAAGGGGAGTTGGAAGCCTTCTTACGAGGTGCTGGGCTCTGCATGCTGAGTCAGCTCTCTGCCTCTTGCTTCATTTCTTGTTTCTTCTCAGCACTGGGATGTGCCCAGGTCTCCCACTGCTGGTAAACCACTCGCCTGGGCCTCTCCTATGCAAGGAAACGACAGCCTTAGGGTTTTGTCTGAAAACACCTAGGACGGTGTTGAACCTCCCAGATGCTAGGAGGGCAGGCCGGCACCCTCACACCTGGCCTTGCTCAGGTGACACCTGGAGCAATTGCTGGTGCGTCCCCACATGGCCACTGTGCTGTCTAGAATACCTGATTCTCAGAGTGCAATAGACAGTCCAGAAACCCCACAGGTGGCAGATGGCAGACAACAGGGCTGTACCCTTGAGATCCATACACTAGGAAGAGAGCTAACTTCTGTGAGTGGCTCCCTGACCCCTACATATGTGCACATACATATGCACACATGATAAATAAGCCAGAAAACAAAACAAAACAAACAAAACCAAAAGGGCACAAAACCTTCCTCAGCGTAGTGGTGCCCTCTGAAGCAGGCATGCTGTCTGCCAGTCACAGCCACTGCCCCCAGCTCTAGAGCTGTCAAGTTCTGTCCCCTCCTGAAGTTCAGTTTCTCAGTGAATGTCTTCCTCATGCAAGGCTCACAAGGGAGCAGGTGTCAGAGAGCTGGATGGGGCCTGGACCCAAGCTCACAGGCCTTACGCTGTCTACCCTCCCCCATGGCATTGTCTCACTGCCATGTTGTCCTGGTAGCTCTCAACCTTTTTATGGCCTTGAAGCAGTAATGATACTCTCACACTGTTCCCTCTGATTTCGGCCTAACAGGCAAGGACACTGGGTACTGCCTTCTTTTGGCCCTGCCTCTCTGTGTCTGCACGTGGGGACACAGGTGTGCTGGTCCATGCCCATGTACATATACACAGGTGTGCATCCATGTGGTGTGTGCATGTGCAGGCCAGAGAAGAGTGTTGGGCATTTTCCTCTCTCTTCCACTTCTTCGTGGAGACAGAGTCCCACTTAACTGGGAAGCTCACCATTCTGGCTAGGCTGTCTATCAGGGAGCTATCTCTGCCTGTCTCCAGCTCCCTGTGCTGAGGTCACAGGTAGGTAGGTGCACAGACCTTTACACAGGTGCTGGGGATTTGAACTCAGGTCCTTATGTTTTCAGAATAAACGTTCTTACCCAGTGAGTGTCTACTCAGCCACATGTGTGTCTGCACGCCTGCATATGTGCCACCTGCAGACATGCCTCCCGGCATTTTGCAGTCCTGGGGTCGGCCTTGGGTTTCCTGTGGAGGATGCTCAGCAGACTGGGGACTCCAGTCCCCAGCCTCAGCTAGAGCCCTCTATCCCAAGGCTCTTGAGCCAGTTCTTCTGGTTGAGCTGCAGGTTCCTACCCCTTTATTTTCCTCCATGGCCACATATTGGGTGACTGCAGCACCCTTTCCACCAGAGGTCATTGTGCATGGCCATCTTAGACAGGGCTTCTGCTGAAGTCCCTGAAAATGAGACCATGGCATCTTTGACCTGCTGCCTCATACCACAGCCTTGTGCAGGTGCAGCTTCCCCTCTGGCATGAGAGTGTGTGTGAGTGTGCATGTGTGTGTGTGCATGCATGAATGCTCGTGCATAAGTATGGTGTGTGTTTGTGCGTGTTTGTGTGTGTGCATATTTGTGTGTGTGTGTGTGTGCGCGCGCATGCTCACGCATGAGTACTTAGGGCTGCTTGCACTCCCTGGGTTGGAGTTTCTGGTCCTCCCCTCCTCTGCCTTCACCTTGTCCTTGGGGCCTTGCCACTCTGCCTCACCTTTGCATTCCACTGTTTTGCTTGCCTGATTGGAGCCATGACCATGACACTAGGTTCAGGTTCAGGTTCTCTGTGACCTTGGGGGGCCTGTGTTACCCTATGGGAGGGAAACCTGGGGAGGCTGACTCCAGCTGAGCCCTGGTGCACAGCACAGCACAGCACAGCCCAGCACAGCACACACACCTCCCGCCTTCTGAGGGCAGTTGACTCCAGGAAGCCTCTGTAGCCCTGAGTACTGCTGGCCATGCATGGGCTAAGGGCATGGGGTTCATCAGCCTCAACCATTGTGTGTGTGTGCGCGTGCGTGTGAATACACATGTGCATGCACACACGCATGCATGTGTTCCTGCCTGTGTGTAACCCGGCAGTAGTGGCACACACCTTTAATCCCAGCACTTAGGAGACAGAGGCAGCTAGATCTCTGAGAGTTCGAGGCCAGCCTGGCCTACACAGAAAAACCCTGTCTTGAAAAACCAAAAAGAGAGAGAATAATTGTGTGCACATGCATTTGTGTAAGAATGTGTGTGTGTGTGTGTGTGTGTGTGTGTGTGAGTGCATACATGTATGCACATATCTGTACTGGGGCTCTGCTGCCTGCACAGCTGTCCCTACCACCTTCGCAGGATCTGTGTGCCCCAGGAGCTGAGAGGGTGCTTGCTATAGGCAGTGAGAGACAGACTCACCCAAGGGTGGGGAGTGCTCTGAGTGGGTGCCCTTCACCTCCCTTTGAGGAGGGCTGGGCAGTTCTGACTCTGCCCATCTTTTGGAGTGATAGTTCCACCTTCCTGGCCCCTCCAAGTATCCCCTCTGCCCTAGCTTATGCATCTAAGTGCCATCCCCCTTCCCAGTGCGTAGGGCTGGGTTGATGGTGCCTTGTGCCTCAGTTTCCTCAGAGCAGCCCCCTGCTTGCCTGGCACTGTTGCCATGTCGATCTGTGTGAAGTTACTCTCCTTCAGTGTCCACTCCCTGTCTTCTTGGGACCCCAGACACTGCTTCTGACTTTGTCTTGGGCACTCCCTTGCAGCACACTATCATGTACCCACTGTCAGAGCAGGACTGAGGAGGCCCCAGCCCTGCCTGCTCTCTCCTGCATCCAGGGGCACCCATGCATGACAGCAGTGACCAAGAACAGACTCACTTGTAAGAGTGTCTCAAAGTGGGCCCCTGCTGACCCGCCCTCAAGTGTATTGGCTTAGTTTATAACCACACACACTATGCCCGGCTCAGCCCTGACTTATCCCCCCATTCCCTGTGTCTGCTACAGTGGGGCCCAACTACCACCTCAGCTACCGTGGCTGCTGTGGTTGTGTGGTGCCTGTGTGTGGCAGCACTGGTCTGGGGCACTTAGATCTTTGGGGACCTAGGATTCCCTAGACTTGGGAGCTGCATCACCCATACCCTTCTTGGCCCCACAGATCATCCCACCCAAGGAGTGGAAGCCACGGCAGACGTATGACGACATTGATGATGTGGTCATCCCAGCACCTATACAGCAGGTGGTGACAGGCCAGTCGGGGCTTTTCACACAGTATAACATCCAGAAGAAGGCCATGACCGTGGGTGAATACCGCCGCCTGGCCAACAGTGAGAAGTATGTGGGCTCAAGCATCTCCCTGCTGCTCAGACTCCCTACTTACTGGAGGCCCAGATTGGGCTGCAGGGCCCCTCACCCCATCCCTGTCCCTGTCCCTGTCCCCAGGGGCTGTCCTGCAGTGTTGGCTTCCCATGCCTCCTGTGTCTGTGCATCATGAGACCTATAGTCATAGCGTGTGCAGGCACATGGTCCCTGTATTCTGTGCTCTGGCTGCCCCTGGTCCCTGAAGCTCTGTGCCCCTCCTTGCCCTAGCAGCCTTGGTTCTGGAGTTGGGTTCTGAGGTGGTTAGAGGATGTTGTACTGCCCAGAGCCCAATCCAAGCTGTTGTGCTGTCCCTAGGTACTGCACTCCACGCCATCAGGACTTTGACGACTTGGAACGAAAGTACTGGAAGAACCTGACCTTCGTCTCGCCCATCTACGGAGCCGACATCAGTGGCTCCCTATATGATGAAGTAAGTGTCCATGAGTGCCTGCCATGGGCCTGGCTACCATTGCAGTCTCTGGGGATGGGAGGAGAGTGTGTGTGCCTCACTGTTCAGGACCACGGTGACTGCAGTGGCTGTCACCAACCTCCATGTTGCTGGACATTACTTGGCAGGTCTGTGCTGACTTCTGGCCCAGGGTGGCATGCTGGACAGGAGGTCACAGCCTGGATTAGTCTCTGTGATGGTGAGGGCTGCTTGGGTTCTGCCTCTTCTGACTCCTGTGTCAGTCACCTTTGAGGTCTTGGCCCCCTCAGTGGGGGCCACTGATGTGTGGAGTGGGAACCCATGGCTTGGAGCTGTGACTGGATCCCAGCCTGGTGGTGGCTCCTACTACCTGTACCTGCAGCCTCACTGCCTGGGCTCAGTTGTCAAACTCAGGAAGAGGGGCCAGCTCAGGAACCCAGGGCAGAGCCACATTGGTGTTGGTGTTGGCACCTTACTACATGCTTCTGGAAGGTTCTGTTAGTTGACTCTGTGTGTGTGTGTGTGTGTGTGTGTGTGTGTGTGTGTGTGTGTGTCTTTTTTGTTTTGGGGTTTGTTTTTTTTTTCCCTTTTTTTTTTTGTGTGAGTTTTTAAACAAAAACCCTCAGGGGGCCTCAATGTTTGGTATAACTTGATACTCCTGTAGATAATTTCAAATGTCTTCCTCAGACCCTGGCCCTGTTTTCCTTGCTTTGGTGGGGGGATAGGATCTCACTGTGTAGACCAAGCTAACCTCAACCTCAAGGAAGTGTGCCTGCCTCTGTACCATGAGTGCTTGGATTACCTAGTCAAGACAGGGTTTCTCTGTATAACAGCCCTGGCTATCCTGGAACTCACTCTGTAGACCACACTGGCCTCAGCCTCACAGAGATCCACCTGCCTCTACCTCCCATATTGTTGGGTTTTTAATTTTAGTCATTTTTTAATTCTGTGTGTGAGTGTTTTGCCTGCAGGTGTGTTTAATCCCCTGGAATTGGAGTACAGCTGGTATGAGCCTCCATGTGGTTTCTAGGAACGGAATCCCGGTCCTTTGAAGAGCAGCCAGTGGTCTTTAAGCACTGAGCTATCTCTGCATCTTCACACCCTACCTTGTTTTCTGGGAAAGGGTCTCACTGAACCTGGAGCTCACCCACTAAGCTAGACTGACCAGCCAGCAAGCCAAGGGCACTCCCCTGTGTCTGCCCAGAGCTGGGATTATGGGTGTACACTGTCATATTCAGCTTTCTGTATGGGTGCTGAAGGCCGGCTTCAGGCTGTCCTATTGAGCAGTCTCTTCAGTGTTGGCTGCTGTTGTTGTTTTTGTTTCTTTGTTTTTTGAGTTGTGTGTGGTATGAGTGTAGGTGTTTGTTCTTGTGTGTGTGTGTGTGTGCATGCAGGCACATATGTGTCTGGCCTCTATTGTAGATTTGCACTCAGGTCACCAGGCTTGGTGGCAGCCCCTTCATGCCGAGTCCTCTCAGTGGCTATGATTGCTCCTAAAGGCAGCTGGCTTGCCATGCATTCCAGCAGGTGAAGGCACAGAGTTCAGTGGGCTCCCGTGCACCCACAGTGCTGTAGAGCCCTGGCCTACCATCCCAGATCTAGCCTCACGAACAGCCACCCCATCCTCCCCAGGCTGACACCCAAGAGTACACTTTCTGTCTGGACATGTCCTAGTTTTAGTGTCCCACATTGTGGCCTCTCATGTCTGATTTTCAGTGTCCTCAGGGTCCCTGCACACTGGCGTGTAGAGGCCCATGCAGCATGCCCCTGCCTGTCAGGTGACTGTGACCTGCTTGGGCTCCGGGAGGTGAGGCAGCTGTCGGTGCTGTCCAGGTCCCTGTGGTCAGGGCTTTGTTTCTCTGAAGTCATATCCAGGGTGAACCTGCTGGGACCGCCTCATCCACTCCTGCTTCCCGGCATGCTGTGTGTGAGAGACGCTGCCACATTGTACTTCCTTTGCCCATGATGCTGAATCTCCCAGGGGCTCCCGCTGTCTCCGTGCACCTCTCTGCAGAAGTCTGTCCTTAGATTCTTTGCCATGTGAACATGTTCCTAGATTCCCAGCACCACCTCAAGTGCTTCATCACTGCCTACAGTGGTGGCTCCAGGGGACCTGGGCTCTGTGGCACTGCACTTGCACATGTGCACACTCACACACAAGTAATTAAATAAAGGAACCCTGCCTTAGCCTGTGACTCCAGGCGCTCCCTGCCTTAGCCTGTGACTCCAGGCGCTCCCTGCCTTAGCCTGTGACTCCAGGTGCTCCCTGCCTTAGCCTGTGACTCCAGGCGCTCCCTGCCTTAGCCTGTGACTCCAGGCGCTCCCTGCCTTAGCCTGTGACTCCAGGTGCTCCCTGCCTTAGCCTGTGACTCCAGGCGCTCCCTGCCTCCATTATTCTCCCTTCCCCAGTGTCTTGGGGCTGGAGCCATGACCCAGGCTTTCCCATAGCTTCTGTCCTGCAGCAGCCATGTGAGTTCAGGGCTCGTCTATATCCTTTCTGGCTTGATGGCTCCTTCCTTCCTTCCTTCCTTTCTTCCTTCCTTCCTTTCTTCCTTCCTTCCTTCCATTCATTATTTTAGTTGTTCCTTCATTACTGGCAGGATTAAATCCAATATTTGCCAGTATAATTTACTTTAAACGAGAAGGCTTATATCTTCCAAGTGTATGTGCTTACCTGTGCTTGTGGCTCTCTCTGCCAATGACTGAGGTGGAAGCTGTCTCACAAGTCCTTCTGTAGACGGATTTTTCCTCTCTTCCTGAGCCAGAGTCTCATGGAGCACAGGTTGGATTTAACTTGTTGAGGATGAGCTTGAACTCCTGACTCTTGCTGAATGTCAGCATGCTGCGCCCGTTCACATTGTCCAGCAGTGCACCCTGGGCGGGCAAAGCCTCTGCACTCTGATGGGGGCATAGGGTCTCTTGATGATTTGATGTGCTTTACCCATTGCAGGTCCAGAGCAACTTTACAGGGGTCAGTGGGGTCTCGGGTCAGTGGCCATTTGTTCTCTTCCCTTGATTTTGGGCTCCCTGTCCTCTAGTATCTTGTGCTATCACCTTGTCATTTTGTCATCTGTGATCCTGGGATAGTGCTATGTGAAATCAGTCTGGCCTTTGCCCAGCAAGATGTTCCAGGCATGCCTCTGCGTCCTACCTCCTGTCAGCTAGTGTGCTGACTTTATGGAGGACACAGGCTTCAGCCACCAAGAACAGTCCCTGGGCCACATCTACCACAAGTCTGTGTGCCTGCCTCACCGTGTGGCACATGCTGGTAGTCCAGAATCTGTTATAGATGGGGAAACTGAGGCCCAGAGCAGAGGACTTTTGACCCAGCCATGGGATGATTGTCCCCACAAGGTTGTACCTGGGTTTCTTTCTTGTAGCCCATGACGTGTTCCATGTGGTGACTGTGCTGGGTGGCAGACAGGGCAGCAAGGCCATTGTATGCTCCGTGACCTGTTGCCCTGCAGACTTTAGCCTTCAGCTTCCTGGCAGGAGAATGGCCACCTGTAGGGTCACTGTGTGGAGATGCTGAGATGCACCTGGTGGCTCTGGGATGAGAAGAGGTCTCAGGTGATAGGCATGTGAGGTTCCTGCTCTGCTTTTGCTCTAGCTATCAACATGGGTGGAGGTCAGGCTTCATCCATATCTGCCTGAATCCTTTGAAGCTGTCTGGTCTTGTCTGATGAAGGTTCTGGAAGGGCTGTCATTTGGGCATATGCCTATGAAGAGGTCACTCCACTTGGAGACTGCCCTTTTCCTTTTGTGTTACTTAGAGGTGTGGAGGTCACTGCCAAGCTGTTGTCGTCGTCCCTTGGCACATGCTGGCTTATAGACTGTTGCCTGTGTCGTGCTATTCCAGGAAGGCTGAGGTGGTAGGCGAGAGTTTGGGGCCTGAGCAGCTCTAGTCTGCCCATGACCCTAGTCCCCTTGACCTCTTGGGATGACCAGCTGGAGCCTGGCAACCTGATGCTGACATACCTCAGTGGCCCTGTTCTACTCTGGTGACTGCAGCCAGGGTGCAGGTGGGCAGATAGCCGGGAGGACTCTGCTGACCACACCCTCACTGTCCACAGGATGTGGCCCAGTGGAACATCGGCAACCTGAGGACCATCCTGGATATGGTGGAGCGCGAGTGCGGCACCATCATCGAGGGAGTGAACACGCCTTACCTGTACTTCGGCATGTGGAAGACCACCTTTGCCTGGCACACAGAGGACATGGACCTGTACAGCATCAACTACTTGCACTTTGGCGAGCCCAAGTCCTGGTGAGTGCCGGGGTGTGAGGCATGGGGAGATCTGGCCACTGCTGACAGGTTACTGTGGGCGCCTCCTGTTCACACTTCAGGCTTGGGGGAGATGTGCTGGTCCAGGACCATGGCCTTGGTGGTATCAGGTACCCACCTCCAGTCCTGTTGTTCTAGGCAGTGAACTGAGGGCCGTGGCCTTGCCTGAGCCTCTGCCAGGCCGATGACTGTGTCACTTTCTGGCCACATCACAGGGGCTAGTTTCTGCTGGACCTGGAGGCTGTATGAGGTGCCAGCATGCCAGCAGTACTCTTTGCTGACTGCCAGGCAGAGCCCTATCCCAGGCCAGGCTCTTGTCTCCTCTTGGGCTCAGCTTCCTTGTTGCACAGTATGGACAGGAAGGATGCCCTCCCCAACATCTGGTGGTGCTGAATGGGGAGGGCAATGCTGAGGGCTGGGGATGTCTATGGGTGCCCACTGAGAGCAGGTCCTAGTAGCTGGCTGTCCTGCAGCCATTTCTGTCACTGTAGTAAGCTCCTTAGGGAGAATGGGTTTATTTTGGCCTATGTTGCAGCCCATAGTCAGCCACTTAGGAAATTGGAGCCACACCCATGTGGAGCATGCTCAGCTGCTTCTTCCACTCCCACGTGGTCCAGGGTTGCTGCCACCATGTTCAGCTCCATTTTCTCTGTTCATGAGCACTCAGGGCCCTTGGACATGTACCTCTCAGGCCACCCTGATGCAGACATCCCTGCTGAGAGTCTCTTTCTGGTGGTTTTAACATCTGTTGACAGCTAACCATCACTCTGGGCCTCTGCTTGGTTGTGGAGGCGCTTTCACCTACCCACAGCTGAGAATTCAAGGTACAGGGAGCCCCGTTGTTCCCTTGGAGTGCTTTGTATCTGGGGCACTTGTGTGGCTCTTGGAGTCTGCCTAGAGTGTAAGGTGGTGGCTCAGGTCTTCCTAGTTGAGGCTGCTGCCTCCTGAACACTGGGGCTTTGGTGTCCCTTAGTTGCATCCTGTGACCACACAGTGTGGTCCTTCTGTCCCCCACTGTCCAGCACCTCCCTGCTGCCCCAAGTGTGACAGGAAGACCCTGCCTGCAACAGGCCTCCCTTGTATTGCTCAGCTGTGGACAGGACTGTGTGCTGAGCGTGTGGAGGGTCATGCCAAGAATGCTTCTCTTTGGGTGTTTCTGCCCTCAAACCCCAGGCACGCAGTCCTCCCCACTCCATTGGAGTCCATGTTTGGCCCTGGGTAGCTCTCCTGCCCTGGAGGACATGGCTGTGTTGGTATGTGTGCCTCCTATGTGGACCCTGCAGCCAACTGTCAGCCTATAGCCAGGCTAGCTTCCTGACTGATGACCAAGCTGGGCTGGATTTGGGCTGGATGGGAAAGTGGACCCCAAATACAGTCCCCTTTTTTGACATTCTCAAGCCCTGTGGGTCCAGCACTGTCTGTCTCTCACAGTTACAGAAGTGAGAAATGCCTGAAGTGTTGTGCCTGCTTCTTGTTCCCTGGGACCTGAGCGAGCTCTGCACTCTGCTGTCCCAGTATCGGGGGCCCTGTGTTCCCTGAAGGCGGGACCCTTTCTCCCCCTTCCAAGATGGCCATGAGGAGTCTCTCAGTCTCTGCCTCTGACCATCCTGCTGCCCTCTGAGGGCTCTGTGGTGACACTGGTGATCCAGGACAGCCCCTATGCATGGGGGGGTAACCTCCTGGACTTGAGAAAGTTAGGATGCATGGGCAGCACTTTGCTGGCCATGGCTCTCAGCTGCTTTTCAGTTGCAACAAAATCCTCTGGCATAGGCAACTAGCAAGAGGGGAAGGGCTTGCTTGCTTTGGCTCCACCATGTATGGGAAGGTGCTGAGGCAGTTGGTCACATGACAGGAAGGGAACCGGATGGATGCTGGTGCAGCTCCTCCTTGTATGTGGTCAGGGATCCCAGCCCAGGGGATGAGCAAGTCTTGTCTCCTAGAGGTCTGTCTCCCACACTTCTGGATCCTGTCCATTTGACAGTTAACACTGGTCACTGTGGGCTCCTGCTGGGGTGTCTGGGCTGTGCACCCCACCCATTTCTGTAAGTTCAACTGACAAGGTCCCTGTCTATGGAAGCCTGGTGTGACAGTGATAGCTTGATGGTATCTCATGAGCAGCCTAGACTGTGTCCTTAATCCCCAGTGTGGGCCCCAGCCTCTGGTGGCACCACCCTCTATGTACATCTGTCCAGCCAGATGACTCCTCCCTCGTGCTCTGCTACCACCTGTATGGAGGGCAGCTGGGCTGCTACCTGGGCCCCTGGGATCCCCTGAGAAATGATGTGGCAGCAACAAGGGCCAGTGGCCTGCTCCTCATGGCTGCATTGTCCTACAGGGCTAGTGACACCTCCGGATACAGACAGCCCACAGCTGTTCCTGCTGCAAATCCCCACATGTGCACACGGTGGCCTGCATGAGCAGGGGTGTGTGGGTATGCTTGTGTGTGAGAGTGGAACCAGGACCAGCTGGCTCTGGAGGCCAGGGTCTGAGTCCCGCTCCTGGTGGCCACTAGGTGGCAGTCCTGCCCTTCGGACAGGCAGCCATTCCCTGGTGTCCCCACCCTAGCTACTCTTAGATGCCATAACCAGGCTCCCTGGCTGCCTGCTGTGTTCAGGGTTGGGAGATAACCCCACTTTCTCCCTCAGAAAGTAAGAGTAAAGAACGAGCTGCAGGCCAGCCAGGGCTGCATGTTGAAGCTGCAGCTCAACTAAGCAGAAAGGGAAAGAAAGCAGCCCGCCCCTCGTGAAGCTGAGACTGAGAGTCAGCCAGCCCCAACTGCTTAGCCTCAGAGAGACCCCTGGGCTGCCAGGAGCCATCAGAGTGGCCAGTGAAGCAGGTGCCAGCCCTAGACAGACAGGCTGGTGGGCCAGCTGTGGGCCTGTGTGGGACTAGAATGTTCCTAGTGTTCGGAAGCACCTTGGCAAGGACAGTGAGAGCCATGATGTGTGAGGGTGGTGCCAGGCTGTGTGTGGCCACATGGCCCTGAAGCTTGTAAGGCCTGAGGTTCCCTGAAGGATCATGGCAGTCATCCATCCTTATTGTAACCCCTACTCCCTGCACCATTCTGTGGCTAGGGTGGCCATCAGGACTAGTGACCACTTGTGACCACTTGTTTGGGGAAAGGAAGCTCCAGCGGCCTTGGTCTTGGTGAGGGAGGCCCTGTAGTTCCTACTATGAGCATCTGTCCTGTCACCCCTCCCATGGCAGGGAGGGGCCTTAGTTAGCTCTCTGTTGCTGCTAGATGGACACCATGACCCAGAGCAGCTTGGGGAGGAGGGCTGATTTGCCTTATACGTTCCAGTGGCACTCCACCATGGCAGGAAGTTGGAGTAGGAGCTGATGCCAAGGTCATGGAGGGTGCTATTTACTGGCTTGCTCCCCATGGCTTGCTCAGCCTGCCTTCTTATAGATCTGAGGACCACCAGCCCAGGGGAAGCCCCCGCCCCCAGTGAGCTGACCTTCCCACACTGATCATAATTAGAACACTGCCCCACAGGCCAGTCTGATGGAAGCGTTTTCTCAATGGGGTTGGCTCTTCCAGGGCACTCTAGATCTGTTATGTTGACAGCTGGGCATAACAGGATGGGACCCATGTGTCCTTGGGGACATGCAGACCACGTGTGTGTTTAACTTGGGTTCTCCCCACCAGGCTCTGAGCCCCAGAGAGGTAGGACTTCAGCTATGCCTTTGTCCCCCAGCTCTAGCAGGGACCTCAAAGGGGTCAGCAGCACTGGGTTCCTGATACACCATTGAGTTAATACATTCTCCTTCTCGGACATGTAGGTGCTGCTACCTGGATGCAACTTAAAAGCAGTTGCCAGGCGGTGATGAAACATGCCTTTAATCCCAGCACTCAGGAGGCAGAGGCAAGCAGATCTCTGTGAGTTCAAGGCTAGCCTGGTCTACGAAGTGAGTTTCAGGACAGCCAGAACTGTTACACAGAGAAACCCTGTCTCGAAAAAAACAAACAAAACAGAATCCCCAAACCAGGGAGTCCTCATTGCTAAGCCCTTCTGTCTCCCTCTGTTGTGTGACAAGAAAGACTTTTCCTGGGGACGTGCAACACACAGATCCACTCACCCCAGTAGGGACCCCACAGCAGATTAAAGTATGAATACCACAAAGTCTTGCTTGGTGAACCATGAGCTTTACTGGGGTCACTGACAGGCATATGGGTGAGGGGAGACAGCTGTGTCACCAAGGCCCACCCCAGCATGGGTGGCAGCTCACAGAGCTGGGAACCTAGAGTGTACTGCACAGCCTGCTGGCCACACAACAGACTGGAGAGTATCCCTTCCAGGTGCCTCAGCTGGCCCAAGTCTCTTCCAGGCAGCTCGATTTCCTGAGGGGACCCTCAGCTTTTATTGCTCACTCTGGTGAGGAGGAGCCTAGTGAAACTTCAGGGACTTCCTGTAGCTGTTTTGTTCACCTTCCTATTTAAAGACCTCCCTGCAGGATGGGATTTTTCAATCTTTCCCCCCCACCCCCCCCCCCACCACCAGCAGCAGAGCCTCTGGTATATGGTTTGTGTCTGTGCTTTGCTTCAGCACCATGCTGGGTTTGGGTGCATGAAGATATTTGCAGGTCCCAGCATTCTCTGAAAGCTTCTCTGGGTCTGTTGCTGCTTTGACTGATGTGATCGGGGTCAAAGGACTTTGAAGGTGGGGGTGTGTATGCAGAATAGAGAACTGCCCTGTTCAGTCCCCCTAGAAACTGTTACAGCAGGTGGAAATGGCACTTGGAGGTGGGGGCTCTCCTGCTTTCCACAGAAAGCTGTTTCTGTACAGGGTCTCTGGAGGAGTAGTCACACATGTGCAGTGGCAGTGTGGCCTCTGAGAACATTTGCTTTGCGTGGGATGTGAGGAGCCTGTACTTGCAGGGCTCTTGGTGGCACCTCCTTGCATAATCCATGATCACTGGTTAGTTAGACCCTGGGTCCTACCCTAAGGAAGGAAGGTCACTTGCATTGCCACCTAAGACCC